TTTTTTCCTTCCTGCTTTTAGGGGAACTTTGAGATCACAGCCGGAAGCAGTGATGGAGCACCTGGTGAGGGGTGCAGCCCTGCCTGCACAGGTGGAAGCAATGGACCTGTGGGACTGGATGGGGCTGAGCCTGGCTCCACCCCTCCCTCATATCATTTTAAGGGCTGGCAGCCCCACAGGCAGGGTTTCTTCCTGGAGATGCCTCCTGTGGATTGCTGGGTGAGCTCTGGTTCGTGGGAAGAGGTGAGCGATTCTTTCTTGATGGCTGTTGGGGTTTTGGTCTCTGCCTTTCTGTGGGGATTGTAAGCTGGTTTACAGTAGCTCCGTCAGCTCTGCCTCTGCTTCTGATGCCTTCCACTTGTTCTCTGAGGGCAGTCAAGGGGTTCTCTGCCTTTCTCTGAACTGGTAACGGAGGGACTGATGGACGTTCCTTTCTTTTGCTCTCATCTGTTTCGGGAATGCTTCAGTCAGCCCCAAGGTGACGCTGGTTGGGTGACTGAGCGTTGTGACTCCAGAAATGCCTGGAGCTGATGCACTGTTCTGTAAAGGGATTCTGTGTTCTGCAGAGTTCCTCTGCAACTCTTTCTAAGCTCAACACCTTCTTGTGACATCTCTGTTCCCTTTGTCACGATTCTCATTGTGGGATCTGCATCCTGGGCCTCGAAACTCGGTTTGTCTGTTCCCACGTTGCCCCAGCACATTTTATGATGCGTCCCCCTCCCTGTGTCCTATGCCCGTGTCCCCTCTGCGTCTCCTGTGCCACGCATTCATTCCACCTGTGCTGAGTGTTGTTTGAGGGCACGCATTTCAATTCCGTTCCGCGTCTCGTTGGATCTCCTTCTGTTTTGCGGCTCAATGGGGTCGAAGGGTTTCTGGGGCTCCTCTGGTTAGTGGTTCCAGCGCTGTGCAATCTGTGGGGCGGACGATGGAACAGCAGGAAGCCCTTGTTCACATGTCGCTTGTATGCAGGTGGGTTTTGTGCTGGCTGTGGGCAGCTCCCTTGGAGATGCAATGGGGGTTGGTCCCCAGGGCTCGCCCTGCTCCCTGCCCTTTGTCCTTGCATCCCAATGAGCTCCGTGGCTGGTGATAGAACGAGGTGCATGGATGCAGTTGGGAGCTGAGCTGCAGGAAACCCCTGGGCCCCAGCGGCCATTTGCTTCATCCTCACCCAGCGCCGTCCGCTCTGCGCTGCTCGAGAATACTGAGCACAAGGATTCAGTTCCTGGTTGGCCTGGTTCTCTCCCAGATCTCCCTTAGGAATTGGTCGGCAGCAACAGGTGTCAGGGCACGGCTCTGCGAGCACCTTGTGGCCGACCCCCCCAGGCTCTCAGGGCTCTTTCTGTCGTGCTGGCAGGTGTGGCTTTGTATTGATAGGAAACAAAGGGCCGTCCTCTGCTGGAGCGCTGTGCCTGGATCACCGCAGATATCTCCATCCCGGCCGTCAGGGGATGCTGTCAGTTTCCCAGTCTGGACGCCACCCAACCTCCCCAGCCCTCTTCCTTCCATCCCTGCCCCCCTGCAGCCGTGGCACCCAGCAGTGCGATGCAGCAATACCTCTGGTGTGCTGAATGCTGGGGCCGGCACAGAGAGGCTCTGTGGCCGACATGAATCTTCCTGGTTGGACTGCTTGGTGAGTTTCCCTGGTGCTGTTGAGCACGCAGGCTTCCCCGCCTGCCCTGATTGCTCACCAGACCATCGATGTCCTTTGTGTCGTCGTGCCTCACTGCTTCAGGTATCATGCCATAGACTCCTTAGAGTCAGAAGGGACTGTTTGTGATGATCAAGTCCGACTCCCCACAAGGAACAGGGACATCCACAGCTCGATCTGGCTGCCCAGGGCCTGATCCCGCCTCACCTTGGAAGGGACAGGGCATCCACCGCCTCTCTGGGCAGCCTGTTCCACTGCCCAGAATCACAGAATGTCCCGGGTTGGATGGGAACTCGAGGCCCACAAGTCTCCAGCCCCCCGCCAACACAGGGCCACCAACCTCCCTGTTTCACAGCAGCCCAGGCTGCCCAGGGCCCCATCCAACCTGGCCTTGAACACCTCCAGGGATGGACGGGGCATCACAGCCTCTCTGGGCAGCTGTTCCAGCACCTCACCGCTCTCACAGCACAGAACTTCCCCCTGACATCCAACCTCAATCTCCCCTCCATCAATTTAAAACCATTTCCCTTTGTCCCTTGCTGTAAAAAGACATTTTCCTTACATCTAAACTAAGTTTTCCCTTCTTCTTTCCTTTAACTCCCCTTTAGGTAGTGAAAGGCTGTTACCGGCTTGCCTCAGAGCCTTCCCTTCTCCAGGTTGAACAGCCCAGCTCTCTCAGCCTGTCTTTGGAGGAGAGCTGTTTGATCCCTTGGTTCTGTTTTTTTTTGTGGCCATCCTCTGATGTGATCCAACAGGTCCATGTCTCTTCTGCACTGAGGACTCTACATTCCGACACAATCTCTAGATGTGGGATTGTGCAGAATATGGACTCAGGTAAGGGAAGCCTCTTGACTTCACAGGTCCTACAGGAGCTGATGAGAACTTTAGAAATAAAGTGGGAGCTCCATACTCTGTGGCACCCTCCTTCTTCAGGGAAAGTAGAATGAATCAATCAGATGCTGAAGAAGCACTTATCAGAATTGGTTTCAGAGACCAAATTACCATGGACAAAGTGTTTGCCTGTAGCCCTTGTCAGAATACGAACCACTCACAGAAAAGGCTTAGGAGTATCAGCACACGAAGTGCTGTTTGGGTTGCTGTACTTGGGAATGGTGAGATGCCCGCTCTTGAAACCAAGGGTAAGTTTCTCCAGAACTGTGTACTCGGGTTGTCTGCTGCTCTGTTATTCCTTAAGGGATGTGGACCGTTGGCTCAAACTCCACCTCTGGAATTTCCAGTGCGCTCATCCCGTGTTGGAGACTGGTCCTAATACGCGCCTGGCAGAAATCAAGGCTTCAGCCTGAGTGGGAGGGACTATTTCAGGTACTGCAGTGGATGTCGCCTACCTTGACTTCAGCAATGTTTTGTTACAGTCTCCCACAACATCCTGGTAATGAAGCTGAGAAAGTGTGGGATAGAGGAGTGGATGATGAGGTGGGCTGAGAACAGGTTTACTGGCTGAGCTCAGTGGTGGTGATCGGCGGCGCAGAGTGCGGCTGGAGAGCTGTGAGCGGCGGTGCTCCCGGGGGTTGGTGCTGGGTCTGGTTGTGAAGGGGAGATTGTGTTTGTGCTGTAGAAGCTTTCAGTATTTTCTGTATGTAGTGCTGGCTTTACTGAACTTACAGCCCTCTTGTGAAAGAGCTGTTTGCCTTCTACTAAGGAAGTTGCTGAGCAGAGTTAAAAAGTTCAAGATTCGGGGTGTTCTGATTGGGGTGGAATTGAGCCAGGCACAAAATAAGGCAAATATGCAGGGTGGAGAGAGAGAGGGAGCACGGCACAGGACAGAACAAATGTGCTCACTCTTGGAAATATGGCCCTCGTATCTCCATGGAGAAGTACAAAACATACCAAAAAGAGCAGGTTGGTAATGGACCTTATATGGAACTACATCATAGCAACAGCGTCGGGGAGATTGTGAGCCTAGACGCTCAACCAGTGAGTGCCAGGAGAGCATTGCCTGCGTCGGGTTCAGAGTACAGAACAGAATGAATTTCTCTAACCGATGTGCAATTTTTCCCTTATTAACAGGGAGCATGTGCCTGTTATTGCAATAACGAATAAACTTTGCTGCTATCACTAAGATCCTTGCCTAAGCTGAAACTGGTGACTTTGAGTGTTTCTCTCAAGGTCTTGTTCAATATCTTTGTCAATGACCTTGATGAGGGGATATGTTCACCCTTAGCAAGTGCACTGATGAGACAAAGCTGGGAGAGAAGTGGTTGGCACGCCGAAAGGCTGTGCTGCCATTCAGCAAGATCTGGACAGGATGGAGAGCTGGGCAGAAACAAACCAGGTGAGGTGGAACAAAAGCAAGTTAGAGTCTTGCACCTGGGAAGGAATAACTGCAAATATCAGTAAGCTTAGGATGTGACCGGCTGGAAAGGAGCTCTGCAGAGAAGGACCTGGGGTTGCTGGTGGACAACAGATTGGCCGTGAGCCAGCAGTGTGCCCTGCTGGCCAAGAAGACCAATGGCATCCTGGGGCGCTTTAAAAGGAGCGCGGCCAGCTGAGCAAGGGAGGTGATTTTCCCACTCTGCTCTGCCCTGGTCAGGCCTCACCTGCAGTACTGCATCCAGTTCTGGGCTCCCTTCCTGGTACAGAAATGACAAGGATCTCCTGGAGAGAGTCAAACAGAAGGCCAGGAAGATGATAAAGGGCCTGGAGCATCTCCTCAGTATGGAAAGGCTGGGGGACCTGGGTCTGTTCAGCCTTGAGGAAAGAAGACTGAGAGCAGATCTGATTAATGCTTACGTATTTGTTAAGTGTGAGAGTCCAAAGGACATGGCCAACCTCTTGTCAGCGATCTGTGGGGACAGGAGAAGGGGAAATGGCCACAAACTGGAGCACAGGAAGTGCTGCACCAAAATGCAAAGGATCTTCTTCACGGCGAGGATGATGGAGCGCTGGAACAGGCTGCCCAGGGAGGCTGTGGCTTCTCCTTGTCTGGAGATATTCCAGACCCTCCTGGACACCCACCTGCGCGGCCCGCTGTAGGGAGCCCGTTTTGCAGGGAGCTTGGACTCAATGATCACTGGGGGTCCCCTGCAACCCCAATTCTGTGGTTCTGTAATTTTAATCCTTGCTTCTTGCAGCGATGCAGTATTTCAGAAGGGAGAAAAGCACGGCAGGCTTAAACTGGATTTCTGTGGCTGGTAAAGCTGTGCTGAGAAGTGGGCTGACACTTGGACCCGGAAATGTGTCTGCAGACTCTGCACCCAGAGGAATGACTTTTCCCTGCAGGTTGGGCTTGTCTAAGGTAGGTCATTGCTAGGTGAGCTTCTGCTTTAAAACATCAAGTTGTACAAATAAGGAAACTTCAAAAGCAAGATTGCCAATTCTTTTTTACGTGATTTTTTCACGAAGAAAGATTTGAAATGCTGTTTGCTAATGGAAGATGGAGAGAGGAAAATCAAGTCAAAGGCACGCTGTGCACAGCCAGCACATAGCATCTGCGCCGCTCTCCCCCTGCACAAAGGAGGAGCAGCTCAGCAAGCTTGGCCTGAGCCATGGAAGGGAGCATGCAAACATCTGGACCAACCCCAATGGAGCTGGTTCTGCAGGTTGGTTGTCTTCCGCTGTGTGTCTGCCATCCTGTTGCTCTGGGGTAGTTTTGTTCATGTTCAGCTCATGGAGTTGAGGTCAGAGTTTAAGTCTGTGGGCATCGCCCAGGAATTGGGGTAGGGTACGAGGCAAGGAAAATTGGGGTAAGAGAATGAGGTTTAGGACCAGGAACCTCTTCCATCACTATTAGCTCTTGCTGTTCTCTTTTTGGCTTAGGAATCCATGTGGGTTTTTTAATGAAGAACAGACTCATTGTGCAGCTTGTGAGTGAATTCATTCACACCTTTTAATTGACGTTCTTCTCTACATGGAGCTGCAATTGAAATGGATGCTTGTGGTCTGATGTACAGCCCCGTCTGATGTGCTCAGATGAGCCAAGTTTGCAAGGCCTGACTCTCGGTTGGTGAGTTGTGCCCAAGTTCAGAAGGTTGACTCTTGTCGGCTTTGAGACGCATCTTCCAGTTGCACGCTGCGTTCCTGTTGCGTTGAGCTCTTGAGCTCCAGCCCTAAGTGAGGATGCAAGCGCTGCCGCAGGAGGGATGGTTGAGATTGGAAGTGCAGTGCAAAGGGCTGGAGCCAGCAGGAGCAGGGATGCGATCATCCCCCTGTGCTCAGCTCTGGTGAGTCCTCACCTTGAGTGCTGTGTTCAGTTCTGGGTCCCTGACTACAAGAAGGACACTGAATCACCGAGATATTGCCAGAGAAGAGCAGTGAAGCTGTGAGGAGTGTAGAGCACCAGTCTTATGGGGAGCGGCTGGCTGAGAGAACTGGGATTATTTAGCCTGGAGAAGAGGAGGCTCAGGGCAGACCTCATCCCTCTCTACAATGAGCTGAAGAGAGGTCATGTCGAGGTGGGTGTGGCCGCTCCCCCCTACCGCTACTTACATGGGAGAAGAGGACAACGAGTTGCACGGGGGGAGATTGAGGGTGGATGTTAAGAAACACTTCTCCAAGGAGTGCCCAGGGAGGTGATGGAGTTACTGTCCCTGCAGGTGTTCAAGAAACGTTAGATGTGGCAGTGAGGGACGTGGCTTAGTGGGGAATATTGGTGGTAGGTGGACGGTTGGACTGGATGATCTTGGAGATCTTTTCCAAGCTTGCTAATTCTATGATTCTGTGAAAGGCATCTGCTGGTGAGTGCTTTGGTGGGTGAGCATCAGGCTGCTGGACAGCAGGCAGCTGTTGTCTGCAGACAGCCACATCTATGGGGAGTGGAGGCTTTTTCACCTTAACCTTGTCTTTCATGTCTCACGTGCAGTAAGTCCTGTTGTTACAAACAGCATCTTGGGGGCAACCTTGATTTCTGCAGCCCCGAGCTTTGTGGCACGAGAGCTCTACGCCATGCTTCTCCCTGTGATGTGTGACCGTATGGAAGGCCTCGCAGAAGCCTGGGGTAGGTGATGGCAGTCGCTCCTCCTTTCCCCAGCGATGCTGGAAGTAGCGTGGAACGGGACGGGGGGACATCCCAGCCGTGGGCTCCTCTCAGCAGGACTGAGCGGCTGTTCTGATCCTCGTGTTTGAACTTGAGAGAATCTGATGCTAAGTAGAGAAATGAGGGGCTTGTTCATAAAGAAAAAAAGACTGTGTCGCATCTTATGCAACAAGATGTTGTCCGAACTGCTGCTAACAGTGCCCAGGATGCTCCCTTTTTGATGGGGAGAGGTCTAGCAGGAATTTCTTAAATGAAAATAGTTTGTCATGTAATTTCCTTTTCATCGACCTTTCATGCTACTTCTTGATAAGTTATCTTTGGATTACGAATCAATATTTCTTATTGAAGAGAATTGAAGAGAATACGTACGCATCCTGCGCCTTCATCTGCACCAAGAATCTTCTAAACATCTTTGCACTGTTTCTTTTTGGCCCTGAGATGAAGCTGTGTGCAATATGGGCTTGGATGCATTTTCAGTCAGGTGCAGGACACGTAATGCTCATCTGAGTTGTCATGCTGACAAGAACAGCAAAGTAGTAAATTTTTCAGGGTTGCGTGCTTTACTTTACTTTTTTTCCCCTCCAGTCATAACCATGGAACCACAGAAGCGTTACCCAGACAGAGGGAGCCTTTGTCACCTGGACTTGCTACCAATGACACAGGCAGTGGAAGTCAGAATCACAGAATTGTAGGGGTTGGAAGGGACCTCCAGAGATCATCGAGTCCAACCAAAGCAGGTTCCCTACAGCAGGTCGCACAGGTAGGCATCCAGGCAGGTCTTGAACATCTGCAGAGAAGGAGACTCCACCACCTCCCTGGGCAGCCTGTTCCAGTGCTCCGTCACCCTCACTGTAAAGAAGTTCTTGCGCATGTTTGTGCGGAACTTCCTATGCTGCAGTTTCCAGCCGTTTCCCCTTGTCCTGTCTCCATTCACCACTGAAAACAGTCTGGCCTCGCCATTCTGGCCCCCACACCTTAGATATTTATAGACCTGGATCAGGTCCCCTCTCGGTCTCCTTTTCTCAAGGCTGAACAGACCCAGTTCACTCAGCCTTTCCTCATAGCAGAGATGCTCCAGGCCCCTCACCATCTTTGTGGCCCTCCGCTGGACTCTTTCCAAGAGATCCTTGTCTTTTTTGTACTTGGGAGCCCAGAAATCCCAACTGGGGAGCCCCAGCATCCCAAGCATCCATGAAACCCCTGCACAGGACTGGTGAGAGTTACCCTGGTGCCGTCCTTTGGCAATCTCAGGTCTCTCTGTAAGCTCCCAAGCTGTGTCGTAACTCCTCCCGTGGTGCTGACTCAGCTCTCCCAGTCTTTTGTGTGGAGAGCTGGAGTTGAACTCCTTCCTGCTTCCTGCCTCTGTCCTCCCTGCTTTGCCCATGGCCCACTGAGCCTCCATTCTTGTTAGGTGTCTTGAATTACTGAGTTGCTTAAGGATTGGGTGGACCAATTAAATTCTTAACGATGTCTCTAGATCCACGTGTGCACAAAAGCACGCTCCGACGCAGTCAGTGTAATGATGAATACATGCCTTGTTTCCTTTAGCCCGTATTTTTAGTTCAGGAGAACAGCTTTCTGGAATGATGTTCAGCTTGGCACCAGAATCCCCTTGCCGCCCCCCATTCCAGTCACTCACGAGGGCTTGAGATCCACAGGGAGGAAGTATTGCCGATAATTACAATCCATGGTTTTAAAAGTGATTTAATCTATGGTGGATGATATGAATAGTCGTGAATATGAATGATGTGGTAAGGCATCCCAGCAATTTTCAACAGGAATACTTCAAGGCAGCTTTTCAAGGTTTCTCTGAGAACTTTCCAAGTCTCCAGGAATGTTAAGCGCAAAGGTTTCTTAACCTTCCGAATGGCAGTGTTTCTATCTAAGCTGGCAGCCTTTAAACCCAAACCCAAAATGAAGCTTGCTCATCTCAGTGCAGGTGCCTTAGCTATATTCTAACACTGCGTGCAAAATGAGTTTCACGTTCACTAGTCCTTTCTGACTCGCTATGTGTTTGATTGCACAGGAAGAAAAGCTTGATGTCTGTGCCAAGGGAGACGTACACCGCACTTGTGCTGCCTGGACGATGTGGAAACTGGAAATTGTGGGGTGTGCTGAAGCATGCCCTCTCAGGTCAGTCTAAGCATACATAGAGTAGACCTGTCTAGCAAAACAGGGAATAGACAGTTAAACCCATTCTGTTGGGAAATACTCTCTCCTTCTAAGCACCTTTAGAACGTGAGTTTCTTCAGTTAATTACTCAACTCATTTGCTTTTCCTGAATGATCCTAAGTTCTTTTCTCAGGCGACATCTGCACTCTGCTCAGTCCAAGGAGAAATCCCTGCCCGCAGATGCAATGACACAGCGTGGCTCACCACCTCATTTTTCATTGCTTACTGTTATGGTAGCTGCCATCCATGTCCACCCTGCATGTTCTTAGAGCTCTTCTGGAGTCCATGGGGCAGACTTATGGTTGAACTAAAGGGAATTTTTTCATATTGCTCGAGCTCCAGATGATTATCCCTAGTATCATTATATTAAAAAAAAAAAAAAAAAAAAAAAGGGTGTTTTGAAGTAGTGCGATATATCTTCTGTGCCTCAGAATGTGGCACGTGTGGCATGAGAGAGTTGTGAGGCCACGAGGACTGCCCAGACAGCATGAGAACTGTAAGAGCAGAGAGCTATAGGTGATGCAGCGCTATTGGTGCCACCCGCAGGAAATGGTAGCTGGAACAAAATATGGCCAGAAGAGTGATCAGATTGCGTTTGGTAAGGAACTATTTCATTAGTTGTAGAACTTTGACAAAATGTATATTCAGGATGATGATCAGCATGCCAGGTGCTGGGACCATGCCGAAAGAGAAATGGTCTGAAAACGTCGGTGCCATTTGCAATATATCCCCTTGCACAAAGCCCTCAGATCCATGCTGCAACTGCATCCAAAGCAACCCAGAGCCCTGTGCTTGTTGTACCCAGAGCTGTCGGTGCCAGGAGTTGCCGCTGTGTTTGCAAGGACGTTGTGTCAGCAGTGTGTCGTCAGTGGGGTTGTTTGATGGCAATGAAACCGCTGAATGGTGTACCTCAAGACTGAGAAAAAAGATGGTAGTGGTGACTGTGTGTCTGGGTATAGATAGCTTGATACAGATCGATAGGACTGCAGTGTGGATTGTACATAGGCCCTGCGCTGCAAGGTACGCTGTTGGGAAGCAATGTCCATCTGCCCGAGGGCAGGAAGGCCCTGCAGAGGGACGGCCTGAGGCCAGCCGTACGAGGCTGCACAGGAGCAAGCGCTGGGTCCTGCGCTGTGGTCATGACAACCGCATGGCAGCTTGTGCAGGATTGGGCTGAGGTAGAATTCCAACCGCCCGCTGATTCTAGAATGTTGGGTGTTGGGTGTTGGAATCTTCTGGTCCTGTGACATGGTCTTGCCTCCCCACCCTGTCGTCATGGCGGAGCAGCCTGGTGGCCCTTAGTGATGTCACAAGAGGCTGGAATGAGGGGAGGAGCAGTGCGTGCTGCGTCCCTTCATTGGAGCGCTTGAGCTCTGCGTGAGTAGCTCTCTTGTTGCCCTTGTGCAGCGACTGAGTGCCTTCGTTTTCACCCCTTGTGTCTTGTGCAGCATCTTGTAGGTAAGCTGAGACAGCGTGGGATGGACGGGTGGGCAGTGAGCTGTTGAAAACTGCTGGCTGGTGGAGCTCCTAGCAGCTCGTACTGCTTACTCTTGTCCGTCAGACGTAACTTTCAGCCAGTACCTGCATTCCCAAGCGATCCACAAAGATGGCATTTGTCCCATGGCTTTTCCCTTGTCATCTTTGCTCCATTGTGGAAGCTCACAGACCTGTTGCTTCTCTCTCCTCTACCCGCTCCCTTGGTGCAGCTTTCGCTCGTGGAAGAACAGAGCAAAGTGACAAGGAACGGCTGCGGGTTCAAGGAATTGTCTACCTTGTTCTGATCTCCTGCCAGGTACGTGCCACGCTTTGTCCCCCCACGTGGTTGACCAGCACTGTGTCGCACCGTGTTTGGTAACACAGCCTCATCCAGCTTTGATGGGACACTGGTCCCGTGTGGGTTTTTTCCACTTCCCCTCCAGCTCCACCCTCAGAAGGATGTGGTGCTGTGACCAGCTGGTCTGAAGGAAACCAATCCCTTAGGCAAAGAGTGCTAGCCCCAGTTTGTGCAGAGCTGCACAGCATGACCCAGGGACACGAGCACGCGTGCTTGGGCTGCGTGAGTGTGCCCGGCAGCTGTGGGGAGCACGGCAGAGATGTGAGCAGAGGAAATCCATGTGCGAGGCTGCGGCCGGCGCTGGACGTGAGGCTGGTGGGAGCCGGGGGCTGGGGAGCAGATCCACCCCCAGCAGTGACTCCTCTCACTGCCCTGCTGCTGCGCTGTCGGAGTGCTCTGAGCAAGTGCACCTGCTGCTTTGTGCCAGTCCCCATCTGCTAGCAGAGGGACAGCCGCTTGGTCAAATGCTGCCTCGTAGGCGGTCTCGTTTGATTTGACTGAACAAAGTGGCTGTTTCTAGAACACCTGCCTATGCCAGTGGGTAACTGAGGGTAGTTCTGAAGAAGTCTCTCCATTCTGTGGTGTGTGAAGAGAGAAAATATGAGCGCGTTTCTTTTCATTCCAGCTTGTCGTGCCTGCTGTGATGGGCGTCGCGTGCAGTGAGATCAGCTGTGGGCCTGACATGGCACGTGTGGAGGTAGAGTATGAAGCTCTGATTGGTCTTTGTTCCCTGACTTGAGCCAGCAGTGAGCCGCAGATGTGCTCTCCTGCTTTTCAAGGGAGGCAGAGTCCTTCCTGCTCTATTGGTGTCACTGAAAAGCTGCCTTCAAAGCTTCATGTCCTTGCTGCGGGCATCTAGATGGCCGTGGAAGTCATAGTACCAACAGAATCAGATGCGGCGTTATAAACGTGCGGAAGCATTTTCCGCATCCTGCCTGCATGTTGTCCCCCAAAGACAAAGTGTTGTTCTCATATTCAGCAAGTTCAAGGAAGCTGGCACTTGTAGTGAGCCAAGGATTGGGTCAGTGTGCCAGCTGCTGTGTCCAGTCCACGGCTGAGGTCTCCAGGCAATAGGTGACAGGAAGTGAGCAGACTCTTACGCTCCTCTTTGGGAAGGCAGTAGTGCAAGCGTGGCAAGTTTATGAAACTGCCAGAGCCATCTCGGTTGTGGAGTTTGTCCTCTTAGTCTGGGTAGAGAGAGATGCATCTTTGCACTGCCTGGCGATAGTGCTGCGCGCCGGGAAGAGAAAGAGCTGTTATTAGACTTGCAGTTTCTTGTTAAGCGCTCGTGATAAGGACCGAGTGCATTTCCTGCAGCCTTCTCTGCCGATGTGCTCCTCACCCTGAGATCCTCCTTGCAGCCCTCAGCTCCTCACCGTGGCCTGTGCTCTCTGTTTCAGACTGAGAACAACGGGAAGCCCCTGCTGGTCCGTGAGGAGTCATCTCTTAATATTCCAGCTATTGGTGCTGCCCATGTTCTCAAGAGATACGTTGCCCAGGCACCGGATGAACTCTCCTTGGAGGTAAGCAGTTAAGGGCGTTCCTAGTTGTCCTGTACAGAAGAGTATAACATGTGAAGCTATCAGGAATATTCTCAGACACCTTCCGAATGTTTGGTGAGGTGAAGCCCAGAAGATGCGGCTCCAGATTAGACTTGCACTGGGTTGGATGCAGGGAGGAGTTCAGCCATCTCTAAACTATGGCTCTATTTGGCATTGGAATCTTCTGATCCAAGAGCTACTGCCCAGTGTGGTAGCCTGGTCTCTGAGCAATGGCAGAGCCAGGGTATGGAGTGTGCAGATCTGTTCAGGCTCTGTTTGGCTGACTTATGCCTGCGGTTTAATTGGAGCTCTCCCTTTGGCAAAGAGCCTGCTGCTTCTGAGAACCATTTCATACTGAACAGCTGAATTCTGTATGTTGCGTATTGTAGTGACTCTTCTACCTCCACGTTCAGTTGTATGACTGCAAATGCCTGAAGAGCTGCACTGGTGCAATGGCTCTCTAGCTTGACGATATTGGGCAGTGCAGAAGAATGCAGTCATTTGAGCTGCGCTTTCCTCCCAGTCGTGCTGAAGCTGGGATTGACGTTGCAATCTCTTGCAGGTGGGAGACCTCGTGTGCGTCATCGAGATGCCGCCTCAGGAGCTGAGCCCCCGCTGGAGAGGCAAGCACGGCTTTCAGGTAGGCCCAAGCTTCAGATGTGAGAGCGCAACTTCGGTCGAGGCAGGAATCTCAGCTTAGAGCTGCCCTGCCTGCACAGCATGGCTCCACATGGAAAATGGTTTCCTTGTGCTGGTGTCAGAGGACTTTCCCTTTTGCTGTGGGCTTAGGCCAGAGCTGAAAGTTGGTCTTTGTAGGAAACTGCCTCCTCACTTAACTTAGAAAGAAGAGCCCTCACAGCGTGCATCAGGTCACGGCCACTGAACCGCACCTTTGGAAATGCAGCAGCTAGGACACGTGTTTCAGTGTCTCTGAGCACTTGTGCTTGCACCCATGCAGAAGGTGAAGTCAGCGTCTTTTAGGAAGTCGCTGCCTGTCAGCTGAGATGAGGCAGGGTAACAGAGCCTCTGCGCGCTTGCTGCTGCTGCTGGCTGCAGAAGGCTGGGTAGCTCAGAGCTGGGGATGGCAGCTGCATCTCAGTCAGCAAGCAGAAAGTTCATAGGCTGTGCTAACTCAGATCTAGCTGCATCAATCTATCATAATATATAGCTTCTGTATGAAATCTTTTCCTCGGGCACGCTTGAGATTTAGGGGTGCATAGCATACTTGTCCTTTCCCCGCTCCATACGCAGTTTTATGGATGTTTGCCTGCCAATTTTGAATAATTATTAATTTTAAGCAGGGCATTCAGTATCGCACCTCTCTTCTTCTTGTTACAGGTTGGATTTTTCCCTGGTGAGTGTGTGGAGCTCATTAACGGAAAAATCCCGGAGAGTCTCATCAATTCAGTGCCAAAGCCAGGTACGATGATACATTTGATGGTGCAGGGAGGCTAAATGGAGTCTTTTTTGGGTGTGTTCCATGTTTAATACCTCCCTTATCCTTCCCACCTTATCCTCTGTGCTGATGATCCTTCCTGCATAGCACGGAGCGTATGGCTGGTGTTTTGTAGGCAGTGAGATGGAGGGAAGGCAAAGGCAGTTCTCCTGCAAGTCAGTACGAGGCTGAGAACAGCCAGCGTCCCTGGTGGACAGATAGAGGTCTGGCTGTGCTAGTGACACGCTTGATCAGAACGTGGCTTTTCAAGAGGGTCCTTAATGCCCAGGTTGAGCAAGCTAAGCAAGAGGAGTGCATTCAACTCCATCAGAACGTGCAGAGATTTGGCCCAGTCCTCGTGTGTTTATGACTGGAGTTGGGGATATCCTAGAATCCTTGCAGAATGGCTTGGCATGGAGGGGAGCTCAAGGATCATCAAGCTCCATGCCCCCTGCTGCCAGCCAAGCTCCACATTTAATGTGGGACTGGACCAGGCTGCCCAGGGCCCCATCCAGTCTGGCCTTGGACTTCTCCAGGGATGGGGAAAATCCATTTTGGTACGCACTTGCTCATCACGTTCTTCCTGTTTTGACGTGCTCTGCAGAATGTGTTGTGCTCGGCCTCGTCCAACGGAGCCAAACCTGAGATGAACTGGTTTCTTCCTTTTGTTGTGCAGTGCCAAAGAAGCGCGGCAAGCTCCTCACCTTCCTTCGTTCCGTGGTGAAGGCCCGCCCAAAGCAATGGAAAGAGCAGGAGGTGGAGAAGGAGAGGGTGTTTGGCCGTGACCTGGGAGAGCATCTTCTCCACTCTGGTCGTGATGGTAAGGGACAGCCCATTCTTAAGAGCTTCCCTGTTTGGGAACCTAAAGATGAAAGGGAGATGGTATCTAGCAAGGGGCAGGTTGATACCAGTGGAGAAACGGGGAATGGGAGTTGACGACTGAAAGATCAACTGAGTAGGTGATGGCTGCAAGGGCAATGCTCCTAAGGGACAAGCACATTTGTATTTGCTTAAAGCAAAGCCTGTAAGTCAATCCCATGGTAGCCTGAAAAGAAAGGAAGCCTGTTGGCCAAAGAGAGTGTCCTGCATCAGTTTCCCAGCTCCTTGCGGGCGTGAGATTTTCCACCTCCATTCCCGTGGGAGCTGTGATGGGACTTGCAATGTCTGCGGCTTCCCCGGAATTACTTTCTCCAGGCTGATTCCTAGGTCCTGGCATTTCTTGAACGCAAAGAACACATCTCTGTCCAGTTTCCTCACCAGCTCCTGCAGAGGCGTCTCTGACAGCTGTCCCCTTCTAGGAAGAACTGAGCAGTAGCCTGGCTGGGCTTAGTGGATGGGATGTGACGGGAGCGCAGCCTGAGGCAGGACTTGACTGAGGAGCTCCAGTAACCGCCGGCACGTGTTCTTTAGTCCCCCAGGTCCTCCAGAGCTGCGCCGAGTTCATCGAGCAGCATGGCGTGGTGCAGGGGATATACCGCCTGTCCGGCGTGGCGTCCAACGTCCAGAGACTGCGGTAAGAGTGCTGCGACTGACAGACACAGCTGCCAGCAGGGGCACGTGCCCTGTTGCGGGCGTTCAGAGGCCTGCGGGCAATGCCTTAGCACAGAGAAAAGGTCTCCTTTGGGAACATCCCATCCAGCACGGCTGACGTGGTGCTGGTGGCCGAGTGTTTGTGTTCTCCTGTACATCAGGAAGCCCTTCCAACTCTTGATTGCATTGGGTGTGGTTTTTGATTTGCTTTCCTCTTTCTCAACCATTTTCGTGTCCTTCTCTGCAGCCAGGAATTTGAGTCTGAGCAGGTTCCTGAGCTAACCGTCCGCGACGTTCACAGCGCGAGCTCCCTCTGCAAAATGTACTTCAGGGAGCTCCCGACCCCCCTGCTGACCGACCAGCTGTACGACAAGTTCTCGGTAAGCACGAGGCAACGCCTTTTCTTTCCCTCTTTGCTGGGCCTCTTGGGAGATGGCTGCAGCAGTGCCCCAGCTCTGAGGCCCTTCTTCTGTTAGCCCCATGGGGTTTACTCGCATGTCTTTGCCACATCCTGCATCCTGCTGATGCCACTTTTGCTGGTCCCCAGAGGTGGTTATTTCCATATTCACAATGCTTGCTGGAATTCCTGCATTGCTTTTTGTTTGTTTGTTTGTTTGTTTGTTTGTTTGGTTTTTTTTTTTTTTTTTTTTTTTTTGCTATTCCCCACCTATTTCTGGAACGGGAAGGGGATTAATAGCCAAGTGTACTTGCAGATGAATGCCCCTGTGAGGAGCTGAGCTGCCCAACCAGGCTGTAAACCGGCCTGGTGCTTGGACTCCTTGGCTTTGGTGGAGCAGCTGATTGCCGCTATGTTTGCCAGATGCCTCTGGGGAGGCCTAAAATCTTTCTCAGTGCTGACCAGCAGCGCGCTGTGCCCATGGTTCCCGACCCTGCGGCAGGTATCTCGCCTGATTTGTGTCTCAATCCCTTTCTGCCCTTTTCCAGGATGCTGTTGGTGCCACTACGGAGGAGGAGCGGCTGGTCAGAATGCGGGACACCATCCAGCAGCTGCCCGCTCCTCACTACAGGTCAGTGCTGCCCTCAGCCTGCTGAGCTCAGCCCTGCTGCACTTCAGAGGGCAATGGTGCGATTCCAGGCTTTGTGTCACGCGAGCAACGGGATGCCTGGGTGTGCTGAAACGCTGCATGGGGTTAATTTGTGGGGTCAGTTCCTGGGCACGGGGGCACGCTTGGTGCAGCTGATGGCTGTGCTGTGCTGTGCTGGTGCTGGGTCCTGCAGCGTGGCACTTGGTCAAGTTGGGTCTACTTCATCATCAGCATCAGTAGCAGTAATAACAACTAGTGTGAATTGAGGTTTGCTTTGTGAGTGGCAGCACGGCATGCTGGCTGGTGCTGAACATTTGCCTCTCTTGTTTCCCAGGACCCTGGCGTATCTGATGAGACACTTGGCCAGTCTGTCTGCGAACAGCTCTGTCACCAACATGCACGCTAAGAACTTAGCCATTGTGTGGGCTCCAAACCTCCTAAGGTAAACTTCTTTTTCTGTTTCAACAGAACGCTTACATCTGTTCTCCTATAGAATAAAGCAGTCCTCCCTTCTTCTGCACCACATGTGCTCTTCTCCTGTAAAATGTGCAGTGAGTGGCTGACAGCAGAGCAGGAGCCTGGACTGTTCTCCAACCGCACGGGCACAATTTCTAGCTGAGCGTTGCTGCTCTCTTGTTTAGATGGGACTGGTGTGTCCTTGATCAGCCAGGAGAACTTCTGCAGTGGCATCACTGATTGCCCACTGCGGAAGTCTCTGGAGCCCAGTTTGACAGCTTTGGGCTGCAACAGTTCAGACCCGGGAAGCGATCTTGGATAAATGACTTCTAAAACCTGCCTTTTCTACAGATCACAGCAGAGCGAGTCTGCCTGCGCCAGCGGGAGAGCTGCCTGCACGGAACTGCAGACGCAGTCGGCTGTGGTGGAATTCATCATCGACCACACAGACGTCCTCTTCTGCTCCACGTCTGGACCTGACATTGCAGATGGAGCAGGTGAGTGTCTTCCTCCATTAGCTTCATCTTGGTCAGACACCTGGATCAAATGCAGGCCTTCTCCAAGTCCTTTGAAATACACTTTTCCTGCCGAGGGGACAGCAGACTTCTGGGCTTAGATTGGAATCTGGCGTCCAGTTGCTGGATGCTGAGAATGTGCAAGCCCAAACGTGACAAGGAGAAATTTGTCACCGTCATTATGATGTTTTGCAAGCAGGTGAAGCTTGGTGAAAGTGTGACAGCGAAGCTTTCGCAGTTCTCTGCCCCCATTTTCTAGGGATTTTGTTTGCCTGTTTCCACACAGTGAGCTGCTCCTAATTATGACTGCGTCCTTTGCCATAGACACACCTCTGAGCACATGGTTGTTTTGAGCTGCTCTTCTTGCAGCGGCTCGGTTAAGCAAGTCTGAGAGAAACACAGCAGCTCCCGGACCTGCGATGGCTGTGCTGCCGCTTTCTGATGCTGGCTCTCACCTGTGGTTTTCCCTTCCAGGGCACAGTTCTCTCTCAGGGCCCCAGTCTGTGCGGGCATCTTCTGCTGCCACAGAGCTGCTCAGCCTGGAGGAGGCGCAGGCACGGAGGCGAGGCCACAGCAGCTCTCCTGTCACTGTGACACAGAGCAGGGACATAGAGGTGGAAGAAGGCCCCACAGCTGTACGGGGGAAATTCCACACAGTCATCGACTTTCCACCTGAAAGGTAAAGAGGATTTCCTTTTCCAGTACCTTATCATCATTGTTTGGGTGGGTTTTAGTGGTTTCTTTTTGTGTTGTGTTTTTTTTCCCCCCATTATTTCTAGTGCCAAAGCTTGCTGAAACTCAGTTAAACTGATGGTGCCTGAAGTGTTGCAGTGAATCTCCACTCCCTTTGCACTGAGACAGAACTCACATTCAGTTGCCCGCCGGGCTGAGTTTAGCCACCCAGGGCTGGCATTCCCTCCTTGCTGGGCAGGCAGTCATGAGCTGCACGAAGCCACGCTGACGTCTGTCCTGGCCTGTGCTGGCTGTACCTGGAAACGTTGGGGTTTTCCGACTTCAGGGCCACGTGCCTGAATCCAATTCCAGTTCTCCTCAAAGCAGAGTTGTTGATCAGACCTGCTGGCACGAGAAACCAGACATGGCAGTGAGATGGGGCCGATGAGCTGTCAGAGTCAGAGATGCTTTTGGAGTTCCACGCACAACTCACACCATTCCCTGTTTCCTCTCTCCAGACCAAGTCCAGCCAGCAGGATGAAGGAATCACCATCTGGCTGTTGGTGTTCCTGCTTCAGCCTGGGAAAACCATCCTCCGTGGCCAAAGGCCAACGGCAGCACCATCCCAGGGAGCCCTCAGAGACAGACGTTGTAGTGCTGGCAGGTAAGGGTGCAAATCCAGCTTTCAACACCCTGCTTTTCAGCAACATGGAATTCGTGCTGTCAGTGGGCTTGTATCTCCTTCTAGCGTTCCAGCCCATACCTGACACCTTCAGTTCTCCCCTGATCAAGAACCACTTTTGTAATTCAGCTTGTGAGAGTTGGACACCAACCCGTGTTCATTCTTTTATAGGTGATTCGAGCTCTTGTCAACCCAGATGTGCCAGAGCAAGTAGCGAAGCTGGGCTGTGTGCTTCCAGCAATGGAGAGCTCTTGGGAAGCACAAATGGCTGCGGTTCAGCTGACAGCCTGCCACATAACAACAGTGACGGACACGAGGAGCTCATCGAAGTTGAAGCCCTCGTTTCTCCCGGCTGTGCTGAAGATGCTGACCTGAGCCCGCCAGACACCACAGGCACCAGCCTGGACTGTGACCCGGTGCCTCTGCAGTGCAGCCCAGCCCAAGCGCAGCCTGAGTGCCCCGACAGCAGCACCTCTGTGCAGGAGCAGGTCAGCACCAGCGAGGAGAAGCTGAGCCTCTTGGAGGAGGACTTAGATTCAGGCCTCCAGTCCCAAGCACTGGGCAGCAGCACTGAGAGCTCTGAGCCACTCTCTCCGTGAGCTTTCCACCCAAGAGAGGACGATTCCCATCTTTACCCGGACCTCTCACGCCCTCCTGTCTTTTCCTTTAATAATAAAAGCACACTTGTGGTCATTCAACACCTTGACTGCCTGAGGAGTCGTCATTCCTGGGGACTGGGATGAATGCAACAAACAGCAAGGCACCTGAGCTTGCAATGCTGAGGCTGTGGGGTGCACGAAGCAGAGCTCCAGGCTTGTTCCCGTTTTGTCTGGTTTCGGGATGTCTGCAGCTCCCATTCGGTACAGTAGCAAATAATCTCTTGCATCCTGGATGCTGCTCGTGATAACCCCAAGCTTCCTGGCGGTGGCTTTGTGATGCCTTTCAGGGCTTTTTGATGCACTGTGATGCCTTGGCTGCTCCCTAACACCTCTCTCCTCCTGCCGCGTCCATTCCTGGCTCCCAACCTCCAAGCTGCCTGCGCAGATCATCTGCAGCCCTGTTACCATCACGCTGCAGGACGAGCTCATTCAGACCCGGCCTCTCATTGGTCAGCGGCAGCGCTATCCCGCCCCCACCTGCCTCTTATTCGTCAGCGGCAGCGCTATCCCGCCCCCACCAGTCTCTCATTGGTCAGCGGTAGCGCTGCCCCCTCCCCCGGGGGTTCCTTGATCTGCGGTTGCTCTGCCGGCTGTGATTGGCTGAGCCGCCGTGCGGGGGAGCGGGCGTTGGGGGCCGGCTGTTGGAGGCGCGGAAGACCTCAGTGGCAGCCGTTGCTGTCCGGGGAGCAGCGAGGCGGAAGCCGCAGAGCGACGGGAGCGAGTGCTGAGGGCAGCTCCGCCGGAGGTGTGCGGGAGAGCTGTGCGGGACAGGGAGAGGAGCCCTGCGCGGCCCCAAGCAAGGGGAAATAGCTGTAAAGTGGAGCACGGGAAGTTCCGCCCGTGGACGAGAAGGGAGTTCTTCACGATGAGGATGGCGCAGCTCTGGAACAGGCTGCCCAGGGAGGCCGTGGCTTCTCCTTGTCTGGAGATATTCCAGAACCGCCTGGACGCCCAGGGAATTTTTTTCCGCTCTCTGTGCTGCCCTCGTGTGGCCGATTTGCGGAACTGCAACGAAGTTTTTTCCGTGGTCTCTTCTGCCCTCGTGTGGCCGATATGCGGAAGTGCAGCGAAGTTTTTTCCGCCGTCTCTCTGCTGCCCTCGTGTGGCCGGTATGCGGAACTGCAACGAAGGTTTTTTTGCTGTCTGTGCTGCCCTCGTGTGGCCAATGTGCGGAACTGCAAAGAAGTTTTTTTCGCAGTTCTTACTGCCCCCGTGTGGCCAACATGCAGAACTGCATCCAACTTTTTTTCCGCGGTCTCTGGTGACCCCGCGTAACCAATCGGTGCCCAACAACGAGCATGTAAAAGCAGATGTGAATTTTGCACGAAAGAGTCCTGTCTGGACTTTCTGCATGCGCGCTGCGGTGAGGAGAATTGCGCATGCGCTCTGCGGTGAGGAAACTGACGCATGCGCAGTGCGATGTCCAGGAAGGCGCATGGGTACTGCCTGCATGAAGTCGGCGCATGCGGGCTACACCCAGTAACCGACGCATGCGCAGTGCTGTGCCAAGAAGCCGCATACGCTGTTCGGTGCTGAGCTGGCGCATGCGTATTACCGTGCCGCGGCTGGCGTAGGCGCCTCGCGTGGCAGAAACCGGCGCGTATATATAGTGCGTTACAGAGCCCGGATTTGCTCAAATGTATTGCTTTCCCGAGACATGCTCGTGTCGGTGCTGCTGCACACCGGTAACGCGATCGAGAATCTCCGAGCCGCAGTGAGCCGCTGCGAGTCGCTCCGAGCCCTTCCGAGCTGCTCCGAGCCTTTCCGAGTCGTTCCGAGCCCCTCCGAGGAGCTCTGAGCCTCACCGAGCAGCTCCGAGCCGCTTTCGTGCCGCTCCGAGCCGCTTTTGCGCCGCTCCGAGTCCTTCCGAGCAGCTCCGAGCCACTGCGAGTCGTTCCTAGCCCTTCCTAAGAGCTCCGAGCCCCACCGAGCCGCTCCGAGCCCCTCGGAGAAGCTCCGCGCCGCTTTCGTGCCGCGCCGAGCCGCTCCGAGTCCTTCCGAGCAGCTCCGAGCCGCTTCTGTGCCGCTCCGAGTCCTTCCAAGCAGGTTCGAGCTCCTCCAAGTCGTTCCGAGCCCCTCTGAGGAGCTCCAAGCCCCTAGGAGAAGTTCCGAGCCGCTGCGAGCCGCTCTGAGCCGCAGCGAGTTGCTCCGAGCCCTTCCGAGTCGTTCCGAGCCCCTCCGAGGAGCTGCAAGCCGCTCCGAGCCGCTCTGAGACCCTCCGAGCCGCTCCGAGCCCGTCCGAGCCGCTGCGAGCCCCTCGGAGAAGCTCCGCGCCGCTTTCGTGCCGTGCCGAGCCGCTCCGAGTCCTTCCAAGCAGCTCCGAGCCCCTCCGAGTCGCTCCGAGCAGCGTTGCACTGCTGCTGCGGGGGCTTTTAAACGGCTGGGGGACGGTGCAGGGCTTGGGTTGGAAGGGGACGTTTGCTGGTTCAGCGGGAGGCGAGCGAGTTGGATGCCACGAGGCGCTGAGGGGCAGCTGTGAGCCGAACCGGTCCGTTTCCGTTCCCGGGTGGGCTCGGGCATCAAACGGCGGAAATAGACGAGGGGCACCCTGGATTAGCGGGGGAGAATATATCGCTGAGCCGGCGGTCCGGAATCGGCTGCTTGCCTGTAGCCGTAGTGGTTTTTCGAGACAGCTGCTGTTTTGAAGGTGACGGGCGTATATTCGCTGTTAGCCGGAGGACTAATCACCATAGAGAGCGGCGGATGAGCTGCGCAGAGCGGTTAGATCGGCACTTCCGCATTTCTGGGCGCATGAGGCAATTGTGCGGCTGGCAGGACGCGGTGGCAGGCGGCGGCAGTTCCGCGCGTTGGTGGCTGCCCATAGGGCGCGTGGAGTGCTGGGAGGAGTTGATGGCCGTGCGCGGTGGGGTGATGGTGCCCCTGGAGCCCCCAGAATGGGGCTGGTGCCCCAGGCCCGTTGGCAAGTTGTTCAGGGAGTGCTTTCTGGAGATGATCTGTCTTTTCTCTCCATCTGCAGCGACTTCAGCAATCCCGCGTCGTGCCACAGCAGAAATGGGGGACTGCAGTACGTCAGCGATCTCTGACTCGAGGAGGGCAGTGGCTGCAGGAAGGACGCTCGCTGCAGCCTCCCTGTTTCTGTGGGGTTTGGGATTCGGTGCCAAAAGCAAATGCTTGGCTTTGCTGCACGCATCTCTCAGATTGACACCGGGTTTTTCATCACCTCTGATGATGCTGGATGAAAAAAAAAAATAGAATAAAAAGCATGACAACATCAATTTTCCAGTGATTATTATTTATTATTATTTACAGACAGATATTCATAAGCACTGAGCGCAAGTTTGCTGGCTTTGTCCAAGTTTTACTCGTTTTCTTCGTCGTCTCCCTTCCCCCCAATTTCTTTTCTGTGTTTTCACGCATTGGAATTTCATTTCGAGGTCCGTGCTGCCCTCGTGTGGCCAATAAGCGGAACTGCAACGAAGTGTTCTCCGCTCTCTGCACTGCCCCCGTGTGGCCAGTATGCGGAACTGCAACGAAGTTTTTTCCGCTGTGTCTGCACTGCCCCTGTGCGGCCGACATGCGGAACTGCAACGACGTTTTTTCCACTCTCTGGGCTGCCCTCGTTTGGACAGTATGAGGAACTGCAACGAAGTTTTTTCCGCTGTCTCTGCACTGCCCTCGTGTGGCCGATATGCGGAACTGCAACGAATTTTTTCCGCTCTCTGGGCTGCCTTCGTGTGGCCGATATTTGGAACTGCAGCGAAGTGTTTTCCGCCGTCTCTGCCGCCGCCGTGTGGTCGTTATGCGGAACTGCAACGAAGTTTTTTCCGGTCTCTGGGCTGCCCCCATGTGGCGGATATGCGGAACTGCAACGGGATTGGCGCGTGCGCAGTGCGCTTGGAATCGACTGCACGTGCGTGTGGACGAGCGCTGGCGCAGTGCCACTGCGAGAGCCGCGCATGCGCCGTAGTGCAGGAAGGGAGGCGCACGCGCAGTGCAGTGACCAAGTTGGCACATGCGCAGTGATGTGAAACTGGCGCATGCGCAGTGCGATCTCGGCCGAAAACGCATGTGCAGTGCAGCGCTGGGAATGGCGCGTGCGCAGTGCGCTTGTAATCGACTGCGCGTGCGTCTGGACGTGCGCATGCGTAGTGCCACTGCGAGAACCGCGCATGCGCCGTACTGCATGAAGGGAGGCGCACGCGCAGTGCAGTGACCAAGTTGGCACATGCGCAGTGCAGCCTGACGAAGTGTTCTCCGCTCTCTGTGCTGCCCTCGTGTGGCCGATATGCGGAACTGCAGCGAAGTGCTTTCCGCTCTCTGCGCTGCCCTCGTGTGGCCGATATGCGGAACTGCAGCGAAGTGTTTTCCGCTCTCTGCGCTGCCCCTGTGTGGCCAGCATGCGGAACTGCGTCCAACTTTTTTCCGCGGTCTCTTATGTCCCCGCGTAACCAATCCGTGCCCAACAACACGCATGTAAAAGCAGATGTGAATTTTGCACGAAAGAGTCCTGTGTGGACTTGCCTCATGCGCGCTGCAGCGAGGAGAATTGCGCATGCGCTCTGCGGTGAGGAAACTGACGCATGCGCAGTGCGATGTCCAGGAAGGCGCATGGGTACTGCCTGCATGAAGTCGGCGCATGCGGGCTACACCCAGTAACCGACGCATGCGCAGTGCTGTGCCAAGAAGCCGCATACGCTGTTCGGTGCTGAGCTGGCGCATGCGTATTACCGTGCCGCGGCTGGCGTAGGCGCCTCGCGTGGCAGAAACCGGCGCGTATATATAGTGCGTTACAGAGCCCGGATTTGCTCAGATGTATTGCTTTCCCGAGACATGCTCGTGTCGGTGCTGCTGCACACCGGTAACGCGATCGAGAATCTCCGAGCCTCTGCGAGTCGCTCCGAGCCCCTCCGAGCAACTCCAAGCCACTCCGAGTCTCTCCGAGCCCTTCCGAGCAGCTCCGAGCCCGCCCGAGCCGCTGCGAGCCCCTCCGAGGAGCTCCGAGCCTCTCGGAGAAGCTCCGAGCAGCTTTCGCGCCGCTCCGAGCGGCTCCGAGTCCTTCCGAGCTGCTCCGAGTCCTT